GAGGGGACAAGGGTCATTAGCTCAGGTAGGAGGACCCTTCCTCCCTGGTGCTGTGCCCTCTGTCCCTTCAAGCCTTGTTGTTGAATCACCAAAACCCATGAGCTGGTACAGTGGGATCAGAGCCAGGGTGCAACTAATGAACTTGGTAACCTTGGCCGAGCCAAGGGTTTCTTTCTCTAACCACAAGGCAGATGTGAAGGGTGCTGTGAATAGACGGTAACTTCCTGAAAATGAGATTCATGGAAATTACAGAGCAGACAGTTCTGGTGTTGTGTGTCATACTCCTTCACTTTTTCTCTTAGAGGTTTTATGGTTCCATCAGCTTCCACGACAGTCTCCGGGAGATTCAGGTTCTTTCCTGAGACCAGGGCATAAGCTGAGCAGCCTGGGCTCTGTGACTCTGGTGTCCCCAGTTGTCCCTCTCCATGTACGTGGGCCCTTCCCACACAGACTGGCTGCACTCTCTGAGACCCTAGGCAGATGAAGCCCGGCTGAAAGTCAAGGAACGAAGTGGATGCTTGTGGGCTGTGAAGAAGTCACTTCCTGTGTCCAGAGAGGAAGTGCCAGGGACTACCTGTGGGGTTTCTTCACATCCCTGAGTTCCTGCCCCAGGTTCCCAAGCTTTGCTGGTCTCACCTCCCACCGCCCCCTCCCTCCCCTCTGTCCTGTCCTACCCCTGCTGTCTAGATCCCTGACCTTGGCAATGTATAAGCATCATTGGTGTTACTGGCTTTGGAGGCATGAATGATAACAGATTGACTGCCTGGTCTACACAGCAAATTCCAGTCCAGACAGAGGTATATTGTAAGAAAGAAAGAAAGAAAGAAAGAAAGAAAGAAAGAAAGAAAGAAGGAAAGAAAGAAAGAGAGAAAGAAAGAAAACTACCCTGACAACAGTACAGGAGACATACCATTTCTCCAATCCAAATCCTTAAGGATATTTATTTTGTTTTTTTAAAGATTTATTTATTATGTATACAGCATTCTCCTTGCATATATGCCTGCAGGTCAGACAGTGTACCAGATCTCATTACAGATGGTTGTGAGCTACCATGTGGTTGCTGGGAATTGAACTCAGGACCTCTGGTAGAACAGTCAGTGCTCTTAACCTCTGAGCCCTTAATCTCTCCAGCCCAAGGATATTTATTTTGTAGTAATCACCATAACACATATGAAGTGCCTATCTCACTGTTACCTCGGGGGAGTTAAATTTTCTCGTGCTAAATACTGTTATCTACTTTATGTTGCTAACTTGAGGTCTCAAGAGATAATGGCATTACATAATGGCTGTGTTCAAAAGCAACATATTACTGTCATAAGTGTTGAATATCTGGGATTCCAAAGGAAGCAAATGTTTATAACTGAAGTGAGAAACACATAGCAACATGGTAATTGAGAGTATTTTAATTCCTTGGTCTCATTATTTTTACTTGTTTCATTTTGAGAGTTCAAGACTGGCCTTGAACTCACAGAGATTCACCATTTTTTTTGCTTTCCTAGTACTGGGATTAAAGGCAAGTGCCCCACACTTGGCTTAATTTCCCCACTTTCAATGGTAGAAAAAACTGCTAGATATCAGCAAGGAAACTGGACTTGGACCTCTACTATGACCCCAAACTTGGACCTATATTCAGACCCCAAACTATCGGTAGAAGACAGCCTATGTTACTCTTTTTTTTTTTTTTTGTCCGTGCTAGCTTGGTTTTTAAAAACACCTTATTTACGTGCACATGTGTCTATGTGAGGCTGCCAGATTTCCTTGCGCTGGAGTCATGGAAAGCAGCCAGTGCTTGCAGCTGCTATGCTCTCTCCACGGCCCCACCCATGCAGTTCCTGCATTCTGTACCTGCAGCTCCACTGGCAATAGGTCTTGAGGGTTCTCTTTTCCTTCTCCTCACGCATACTTGATATTTGCCATCTTCGTATATAGTTTTGTGTCAAGTCTATATCTTTTCTGTTGCACCCTTCCCCCATGGGGGTACTGCTGACTGCTTGTTACTAGGAGCTGTTAGCTAAACATTTCTCATCCCCTCCACCCAGTAACACCTGCTTGTAAGTTCCTGTTTTCTCTCCTTTGTCTAAATGCTAATTTTTGTTGTGGGTCCACCTTTTGCTGGAGGGCCCTGGGAATGTAGGCTTCTGCCTTGGTGATTTTCCACCATGCCTGCCTTTGGTATATAAGGCTCCATCCTTGTAATAATAAACGCCATTCTCCTTGTAAGAATGAGCTACTGTCTTTGTCTTTAATTCATATCCTTAGCCCTTTGCCTTGGGTCGTTGTGAAGTATGGTAGCGCCGTAGCCGCAAACACACTGGAGGCACACTACACTTTTCTTTTAGACTAAAAGGGGAATTGTAGAGAGACTTCTAACTAACCACCTATGGCACTGACCTCGCCCATTTGGGTGTGGTCACAGGTATGTACATGAGCTTGAGGATTTTAGTCTGGGGTCAGTGACAAGCTGCTCTCTCTTGTTTCTGCTCAGGGCACAGTGAACAGACAGGGAGGATCGTTGGAGCCTCTTGAGTTGCTATGAGTTTTGTTTATGCTGATGTGGAGGCCTTGTTGTCTTGGTGTCCTCCATCCCCTCTGACTCCTACACTAATTCTGTCTCCTCTCTCCATGGGTTGCCTGAGCTCTGAGAGGGTGGATTTGTTGGACATATCTAGTTTAGCACCGAGTATTCCAAAGTCTGTCACTATCTGTGTAATAACTGGCTGTGGGTCTCTATATTTTACAAGGCATTATTAAACACAGTATTTTTATCCATTGAGATTGTTATGCCTGCATACCTGTATTTTGATCATATTTATGATCAACATTTTCCCCTCACTGCTTCCAGATCAACTCTCACCATCTCCTAACTTTGTAAAAAAAAAAAAAAAAAGGAGTCCTTTTCTAGAAACTGGAGTTAAGGCTCAGTGGTTAAGGTCGCTATCTGCTCTTCCAGAGGACCTGGGTTCAATTCTCAGCACCTGCATGGTGGCTCAAACTGTCTGTAACTCCAGTTGTAGGGGATCAGATATCTCAGTCTTCTACCAAGAATGCACACACAATGGTGTACATACCTGTGTGCAGGCAAAACACCTATTAACAGATAACAAAAGTACACACTAGAGAATATGAAACAACAACAAGTCTTTAAACTAAAGAAAGAAAAATTTACTACTATACACACGGAAACAGGCATTCCTTTTTCTTCATGGTTCCTGAGCATTGGGGTCAGGGAATATGATATAGATGTCCCACTTGTGGAATCTTTGTTGTCAATCTGAGGCATAATTCAATGTTATCTTTTGATTGAAGGCAGAGTCTTTAGCTAGGAGATATTCTTCTGACAGCCAGTAAGACACCAACATTTTGCTGGGTGTCTGTAAATGTAACTGTGTCATCATCAGAGAGGGTGATGGTGGCTACAGTCCATGCATACGGTCTTGACCCCCTCAGTTCTCTCTCGTTAAATACCTTTGAGCTAGCACCAGTAACTGGGACCTACTTATACTTTCAAAAACTTTTTTAACTTTTATAATTTTTTTCTAATATGTTGGGCCTACTGGGTGACAAAGGAAATCATTTTAGATGTTGTCTTTAAACTTTCAAAAATTATGTATTGAAAGTAGTTTAAAGTCTCCTTGGTCAGTGTTGGACAGGAGGGAAAAATCCATTTTGTCCAGGCTGCAGTGTCTGACAGAGATCCCCCTGTCCAAACCTGGGACTGTTTTCTTTCCCCCTCCCTCCCTCCCTCCCTCCCTCCCTCCCTCCCTTCCTCCCTCCCTCCCTCCCTCCCTTCCTTCCTTCCCCCATCTCTCTTTCTTTTCTTCCTTCCTCTTCCTCTTCTGAGAATGGTGGGTTTTGAGTTTTCCAATCATATTGATCATTTGTTGAAAAGAGGACATAAATCATTCAGAGCAAGGACTGGAACTTTCTTTTTCCATCTAGGTCAGCTCAGGGGAACTTTCCCCCCTCCCAGGGCTGCTTAGAACAGACATGGCGAGCAGGGAGAGCTCACCCGGAAACTAACTCCTCCTCTCTGTGTGCATTCTACTTTTATGGCAGAGGGGCCTGGATGAGAAGCCTGGCCTCTCCTCACCTCCACAGAGACCAGCCCTGACAATGAGCAGGAGTCAAGCAGTCCATCAAGCATGTGCTCCAGTCAGGGAGTGGGGCAGGCGGAGGGTTCTTGTTGTGTTTGTTTGTTCCTCTCTGGGTGACTTGGCAGAATCAAAAAAGATTTGGGTCCCTTACAGAGGAGCACAGGTCTTAAACCAGGGTGTTCTCACACTAGAGAAAGTTTCTCTAATAGAACTAACAGAAACACACACACACACACACACACACACACACACAGAGAGAGAGAGAGAGAGAGAGAGAGAGAGAGAGAGAGAGAGAGAGAGAGACTGAAGACAACCGGTGGTGACCACCACACATTCATGCACCTGAACAGATGTAGAATCCAGTCACATCTCACAAGGTTCCCAACACTGGGCCAGTGGCCTTATCAGATCGCTCCAGTGTGTCCAGAGAGGGGGCACCTAAGCCACACTCACCCCCAGACTCGATAGACCAGGCTACTTTCTGATTTGTTTCCCTTTGGGGATGGAGACATCAGACTCCTGTGAAGCACTAGGCAGCAACTGATCAAAGGGAGCCCTGGGGACCTGGGACTCAGACTGCACACCCTCTAGGACAGTGTCTCATAACTGTCCTAAATCCTTCCTTTAATACGGATCCTCACATTGTGCAGTCCCCAACCATATTATTTTTGTTACTCCTTCATAACTGTAATTCTGTTCCTGTTATGAGCCGTAATGTAAATATCTGATATGAAGGGCATCTGGTGATTGAGACCCACAGCCCTAGGAGCTCCTTAGCCATCACATTCCTCCCTGCTCCAATGGGGCCCTGAGACATCCGGTGTCTTGAGGAAATGCTCTGGGATCTCCATGGGACTCCCAGCAATGTTGTGGGGTACTAACCAGAGAAGACAGCTCAGACGTGGATTTAAGTCAATAGAAACTCTTTATTAGTGGTCAGCAACTGCACTGGGGTTTACAATCCCAGTGCAGCACCAAGCCTTTCTCAGGCAGAGATTTTAAGCACAAAAACCCATGTTGTTGGGAGACAAACTTTAGTTAACAAGAGCAATTAGCTAGAAGTGGAGGTATAGAAGCTAAAAAGTAGGGTTAGCGCATTCAGAGACTGTCCCTTAACCATGAATTTGGATGGATTAGGCCTTTGCTTTAGTTTTTCCAGGTGGTGCTGTCTATTTGCTGAGCTTTACAGCCTGAATGTTACTTCCATCGTTGAGTCAGCTGTGCTAAGGTCTGGGGCTGTGTTCCCGTTATCAGTAACTTCTATTAAACAACTAGTCCTCTATTCCTGTTTCCTATGCTTAGTTGTTACAAGTTTCCTTTAGTGATACCTGAGATATTTGATTATTGCCAGTTTACTTAATGCCACTGTATACTTAATTTGCGTGAAATAGTCAGTTTTAAAATTCTAATACTTAGTAATCATTAGAGCTAAAAAAGCAAGAATTAGGCAGAGGTGATGGTGCATTCCTTTTAGCCTGATCCTGGGGCGGTAGGGGCAGGGGGGTCTTTGAGTTCCAGGCTAGCCTAATCTACATAGTGAGGCCCTGCTTCAAAAAATTATTTTCAGCAGTGAACTATATATTTTATACTGTTCATACATTAGGGTTCATGTTGTTACACTGTGTGCGTGTGTGTGTGTGTGTGTGCGTGTGTGTGTGCATCAGTGTGCGAGTGCTAGTGCACTTGTGTACAAGTGCGGGTGTGGAGTCAGAGGAAACTTGTGTGAGTTCATCCTCCTTCCATCACAGGTCTGGACGTGCAGAAGAGACTTCTCTGAGAGCACAGGAGAGCTGCACTGACCCAGAACCTGCATCAGGAGGATGTGCACCCAGCAGCACCAGATTTCCAGGACCTTCCAGCTCTCACTGCCAGACTGTCACTGCAGGGGCAGCCAGCATGTAGGACTGAGCAGGCCAGTGTGCGTGTGGCCATTGCTGGACTGCCTAGTGCATGTCACAGAAACTCACCTATAATAGTGATAATAGTGTAAACCATCACATATCATGTGATGAAATGTCCCTTTGTACCATAAATACTCATATAAAAACGTACATTTCTTATTTTGTTCTAGAAAAGGCTGCCTAGTACAGGCATGGTATTAAATTTTCTATTACAAAATTAATATTCTTAACAGAATTTAACTCCCTGCCAAATATCTTGGGGAGTGAGGGGTTTTCCTAGTCTGTCTCACACTGACCTCTTTACTGACAAGTTATTTATACAGGGTAATAACTTCTCACACTCACTTAGGAGATCTGGGTATCCCGTTCCGTAGGCTAGGGATGGGTACATGATCATGTTCTTCTCCAGATCTCTAGTTCAAGTTGTTCCATGCAGGGCAAACCCACTAGGGAGAACCAAGGAAACAGAACAAGGAGATAAGACAGGGCCCGAGTGACTGGCACAGCATGAAAGAACACGGAATCCGTGTCAGCGGCATCAAGGTTCATCTGGTTGAGGCTGAGGAGTAGGGAGAGGGGCTGCACCAGACGAACTCTCACAGCATTCACTGGAGCTTCTTCACCCTGCAGCAGGGAAACACGATTTGAAGGGGCTGAGGGAAGCCTGGGTCAGTTCTCCTGGGTGCCCTGGACCTGTCGTCACCACCCCACAGCCTCTGTCACTGAGGGCCATTCCATTCCCTCCTCCATCCCCCTGCGCCCTCCCTCCCTGGATCCTGCACTGTCTCCCCCTCCTTTCCCATGTCCCAGAGGCAGCCCAGGCTGTGCTGCAGACCTGGGGTTCAGAATGAAGGGGCAGTGACCAGCTCTGCTTCCTGACTCAGGGCCTGATGGGAGGGGCTGCAGGAGCAGGAGGACCTCTATCCAGAAAGGGTTCTGGGACCTGGTTATCCAGTCCTCGAGTGGGGATCCAGACATGCTTTTCCTTTCATTCTAAAACTCTCAAATCTGAGAGTGGCATCACAACTGTGTGACTGTCCCTGCTCCACCTTGTCCACCTGGGCAGTCAAGATGGGAGCAGTAGACCCCAGCCCTAGCTCAGTCCCTCCAGCCTCAAGTGCGGACACTGCTCCAGGTGTCTGGAAGTGGCTGCTGCTGAATTCATTTCTGTCTTATGTGTGTGAGTGTGAGCTTGCACGTCTATAAGTGGCTGTGCGAATGCCTGGTGTCTCTGGAGAGGAAAGGGCAGGATCCCCTGGACCTTGAACTGTATGGCTGTGAGTTGCCATGTGGTGCTGGGAATAGAACCTGTGTCTGATGCAAGAGCAGCTTGCCACTGGACCATGTCTTTGTTTATGTTCTTTATCTGTGTCTGTGGGACGGAATCTTCTTCCACCTACATATTAAGAGGAACCACCATTTCCTTTTGTGTTCCTGTGGTCTCCCCATCTGTATCATGGGACCCCCTGATTAGGAGCCTGCTGTGTTTAGGTACATGTATTCCCTCTCATTCCCTGCTGCTCTGTGACGTGATTCCTGATTAGTCAAGGCTGAGCACGCACAAGCTAATACTAGCAGGTGGCATGAACTCCAGATCTCCCGCCTCCTTTCTCAATAAGATGCTGCCATTTAGGAACAAGAGTAGGACCATAGGAATTGTTTCCTCACTCCTCACCCACCTGTCCCTCTCCCCACTACCAACACTGCCGTCAGTACCTGTCATTGCCAAGGATTCTCCTCAGGTAAGAAGCAGGAGGGAGCAGGTGAGGATTATCAGCAGGCCAGAGATGCTGGGCTTGATGGCCAGTGACAAAGGCTGCTGGCTCACAACTGTCACACCATTTGGTGAGGCTGAAGTGGAAACACAAATAGAGTGTTTGACCAGAACCTCAAGTCTGAGGTCATATCATCTTACTGTGGTGAGAACTTTCTGGATGTTGGCCCAACTGTTGTTTAATTGCACCAGAGAAAGATAGTGAAGCCTTTCCAAGTGTTGTGGAATTGGAGGAAGGGCAGCTCTGAGTGAGGAAGGAAAGGCTGGACGTTTACAGTGATGCTCACAGACTTGAGCCATTAGCAGGCCATGCAGTACCTGGACCATTGGGTAAATGGGAACAAGAAACATTGGGAGGTAAGATGGGAAAGAGAAATTCCTGTGGTTTTCAGTTCCTCTCATGAGAAGAAGACCACCAAGAAATCACGAATTCGGTCTACTGAATCTTCCATTATGCACACATGTTGACATCTACACAGGGAAGTCACCAGACTTTTCAAGAGAATTGCCATGCCTTCCCAACCCTCTGGAGGTTTCCTTGTGATAATCTACCTAACTACTTACTTGGCATTTCCTTCTGGTGCTTTAAGAATTCCTCAAGGCAGTGTCTGGAATCTCCCATGGAGAGCATTGCTAGGTCTTGTGCTAGTTCTGCATTATTCTCCCAATTCTCTAGGACACCTGTGGCGTTATAGTTAATCACTTCCCATTTCTTGTTGTTTTGATTATAGTGAACATAGAAGAAGGAATGCTGTCCATCAATGGTGAAGTTCCAGGAGGCATCAACGGGTTGTCCGTGTTTATATTGAGATACCATGGTGCCCTCCATGGCGTGATGGCCTGCACATGAGACACAAAATGGTCATCTCCTCCCTTTACAGAGCCATCACCCCCTCAGAGGTCAAGTCTTCCTCTGTACCCTCAGAACCTGTTTTCTTTCCTCCAGACTTATCACTTCTTACCTATTGGGTACCAAGTCCTTCCAGCCTGGAGCAGAATTCAGCTCTTTCATGCTAATACAACCCCAGCCCCCTTCCTACATGGGCTCTGTCCTTCCTGTCTCTTATTGATACCCTCTCTCTTTGCATCCTGTCCCTTACTTACCCCTGGTCAGCACTGCCTGGTTTTCCATGAGAAGTAGCTGCTTCCTCAACTCTTCTCCAGTGTCTTTTACTTTTGGGTACAAACCTCCACATGTCTTAGCAGCATTTACCACATTTCCTCCGTTACTATGGTGAAGTAAAGACATTCCATCTGCCGTGCACTGTACTTCCCAACCTTTCTCTCCGTGTGTGGGATGAGACTTGATACTGAAGTCGCATCTGAGATAGTGTGTATCTGTGAGAGACACATGACTGTGAGGCAGGAAGTAGGAATCGTGGTTCTGTGACTTCTAGGTTCATCCTCATTGGCAAAAGGGCAGGGAGCCAAGGCCTCTAGTCAAGGTGTGCTTGGACCCTCATTTCTGTTCTCCTTCCCCAAATCTTCTGCCATAAGCAGGACTGCTGCAGGTGGGCACCTCCTTTCCTGTCCCCTTCCTCTAGCTTCCTCTCCCCTCCTCTTCTCTGCCTCCTCTACCACCTGTTTCTTCCTGTCTCCATGGTTCTCTCCACTCCACTCACCCCTTCCTACCACTCTTAAGGCTTGAGTTTGTTCTAGAATGGCTGGGATTCCTTCTCATTCAGTACATTATCCTGGAAGATTGGTGGAAATGAATTTCAGTCCTCTGGAGAAGAGAACTAGCTTGAACTAAAGCTGACAAACTCAGCACTAGGTGGATCACATAAGCATCAGTTATGTGTAAGAAAAATCCACTTACAAGTTAGATGACAGGAAACTTTAAATCATCATGAAGGTGATTTAAAGAAAGCATCGTGATATAATAACTTCACAAAACGCACCAATACACAATAATAACAATAAAAATAACAATAAGTGTGTCAGAAGGAAGTATTTGTACTCAGAACTCCAGACTTTAGCAAGGAAACATTTTAATAATCTCCTACAAGTGTGTCACAGTGGTATTTATAAGACAAGGTCTCTAAGAGGTTTGGCACTAACCAAGTAGGCTAGACAGGCTTGCCACTGACCCCCGGGTCCCCTTCTTCTTCCTTCTTAGTACTGACAATAAAAGCACACAGCACCGTTCCTGGGTCCATTACGGGAGTTCCAGGGATCAACCTTGAGTCCTCCAAGCCTTTACCACTCAGCTATCTCCTCATGCCTTGGACTCAGGACTTTGTGTAGTCAGAAATCCTCCAGGATTTTCTGGAGACTGTGCCGATGTGCTCAAGGAGTGGCTTGTAGGAACCCAGTCAGAGGCTGGTCCATGCTGCTCTGTGGGATGCTGGGGCACCCTGTTGAGAAGCTCAGTGAAAATGACCAGGGAGAAGACACCAGCCTTGCTGGAAGCTCAAGGACGGTCATGGCTCAAAAGTGTGGGTGGTTACAGGAAACTGTATTTTAACATGGAATCCAAGCAGCATGGTACAGAAAAATCCCATCAGGTGGAGTAGTCAGGAGGCAGGATCACTAAGGACAGCGGTCTATTGATGAATAAGGGGGACCCATCTTGAACCCTAACTTCTTAAGTCTGTCATGGCTAAGAGAACACAAAAATAGTAAGTATAGCTAGATCATTAGCAAACTCACATATGGCTGTATTTTAATAACTAAAGAGAAAACATGATTAGGAAGCTGAAAGATGTTGTTCCATGAAAACCCTAGGTTATATTGATATTTTGTGCATGATCTAACAAATAAAGTTTGCCTGAAGATTGGTGAACAAAGCTAGCCATAAGGTCTAGGCAGTGATGGCACAACCTTTAATCCCAGAAACCATACTTATTAGCCATGGTGAATGTAGCCTGCCTTTAATCCCAGTCTTTGGGAGGCAGAGGCTGGTGGGATCTCTGATTTTGAGGCAATTGTGGTCTACACAGCAAGTTCCAGGAAAGCTAAGGCTACACATAAGAACCCTGTCTCTAAGACCACACACACACACACACACACACACACACACACACACACACAGTGGGAATATCATGTGCCCATTGATTAACCAGAACCATTCGGGCCAGAGAGGTGGAGCAGCCTTTAAGGGCACTGGTTGCTCTTGCAGAGGACCCGCATTTGGTTTTCAGCAACCACTGCTGTGTTATGCTCTTTCTGTATGATGTGAATATGCATTGCTTTCATTAGTTGGTAAATAAAGCTAATTTGGACTATTTCCAGGGAGAAGAAGTCTGTATTGAGAAGCTAAATGGAGATTCAGGGATAGGAAGGCAGAGTCGGGCAGTTACCAGCACCTCCCAAGGAGCAAAGTGTCAAAATGTCAGTCAGCCAAGACCATGTGACAATACACAGATTAATAGAAATTAGTTAATTGAGATGTAAGAGCTAGCTAGTAACAATCCTGAGCCACCCACAAACAATTATAATTAATAGAAGCCTCTGAGCGGATATTTGGGAACTGGTGCACAGGAGAGAGTCCTCCACCTACAAACCACATGGAGGCTCACCTGCCTGGGACTCCATGTCCCGGAGACCCGATGCCCTCTTTGACCTCTGAGGGCTACAGGCACATACATACATGCAGTCAAAACATAAAATTAATCTTAAAAGCAATTAAACCTGGACCACCTCAAAGTCAGACCGGAACTTTTTCCCAGGAGGACAGATCAGGGCCCAAGGAGAGCCACTATTCACTTCAGCACAAGTATTGTCATTCTTTCTGTATTTCTGTGGATGAGAAAGTTTCTGTCCCACCCAAATATTTGAGAAGAATTTCCACTTTAAACCTGACAAAAACTAAAAAAGGGTTCTGAACACACAGAACGAAAGCCACACTGGGCTTCCTGATCTCTCAGTCTCTGCTGGCCATGGTGTCTGAGCATTGGTAGAGGTAAGAACTCTAGTAGCCGGCTGCTCTGCTACTCTAACCCTTCACCCTTCAGCTCCTGAAGCTGACTCAGAGTTTTTATTAAGAACGAATAGAAGCCGGGTTGTGGCACATGCCTCTAATCCCAGCATTTGGGACGCAGATGCACACGGAACTATGGGAGTTCGATGCCAGGCTGACCCGAGAGCCTCCAAAACAATACAGAGAAACCCTGTCTCGTAAAAAGAAAGAAAGAGAGAAAGAAAGAAAGAAAGGAAGAAAGGAAGGAAGAAGGAAAGAAAGAACGAATAGAATTCCTGTACAAATCACCTTCCCTGGGCAGGAGTCTGGCCCCCACACCTACAGCAGAGAAAATACACTGCATATCAGTGTGGCTCCCGGCATGGTACTGGACACTGGCTTGTGTCCCTGGACTATTAGAAGTCCCCTCAAGCCTCAGGCCGGCATCGTGAGGTGAAAAGAGAATCCCAGGAGGTTCCTGTGAGGAGGCTGGGACCTTCCTGACTCAGTCCAGTAGTCCAGTGTCCCCTTCCCTCCGGCAGTTAATTCCCTGGAACTCATCAGCTAGCTTAGTGTTCCTCAGACAGCTCAAAAGGCAAAGAATTTTGAGAAGACTGCATCTGGGAGCTGAGGCCTTTGCCATGGTTCCTTTCTCGAGACCCGGTTACAGTCAGACTTGACTGGAGTTGTAGAGAGAATCGGGGAGTCGTCGGTACAGCTGAGTGTGCCACTATGAATCCATCCGTGTGGAGACTGCAGTTCTGGTCTCCTGGTAATTTCCAGTTCACTGGTGACTACCTAACCCGCAGATTCGTTCCCCTTGTCATTCCCTCACCATACTGGCTTGGCTCCAAGGTGCAGTTCCCTTCCTCACTGCTGCTGCTGCAAGTATTACCCTGCTGTGGCCACTGCTGCAACCGCCCCTGCCCGATGCCCACAGGCCACCTCCAGGCCACCACCTGGCAATGGACCGGGTGAGGACCTGACCCCGCCTAGCCTCAGCCCTGCAAGTGCCCTGCTGCCTACAAGTCACCCATCTGCCCCCAAGCCTGCAAACTTGGATATCGCTCAAGTTCGGGCACAAGGAGTGTGCGATTATGAAATGATCAGTGTCGGGACTCCTGTTCTGGTCTCCCAGGAGTTTCCAGTACACTGCTGGCTACCTGGCCCGCAAATTGTTTCCCCTTCTCGGTCCCTCTGCGCTCCCCGCGCCGGCTTTCCTCCTAGACACTGCTCCCGCGTCCACGGGAGCCAGGCACTGCTGCTCCTGCGCGGTTTCCAGTGAGTCACCAACCCGCCACCAACCCTACCCGGACCCGCGGCACTGCCCTACCTCGATGCCTACAGGCCACCTGCCCTCCTTGGAGCCGCACCACAGGTCCTGGATGCCTTAGCGCTCGCCCTGCTGTGCTAGTCAGTGCCAAGCCTCTCTCAGGATCCTCCACTCAGCGCATGTCCGCTTAATTTCGGAAGTTTGGTTTGTTCAGAAGCCACCGATGATGCAACCAGCTCTGCCTGCCAAGTTCACTTGTTGGTTTCCTTCTGAGTCCTCTCACCTCCAGCTCCTTCTGGCTCAGCCCCGCCCTTCTGAACCATCCAGCTCAACCCGCCCTGCTTGCTTCAGGGCTCCCCTTCCTTTGTTGGCCCAGAGGCTGCACTGCTCCATCGCACTCCCTTTTTGCTCTCTTGCAAAGAAGGCAGGACTGTGGAACTGCGGCTAGGATGCTGTTGTCCTGGGCTCCCACACTCCGAGGTTCCTTCATCTCAATCACCTACAGATGGGTCCTCAGGGGCCGTGAACAAAAGAATCAGAAAAGATAGAGACAGAGTAAAATCATGGCCTTTCAGCAGGTGTCACAGCATTTTGTAGCCAGAATCAGCATATGCTATATATGGGGCCACTCGCCCCAGACCACGCCTGCTTTGTTATCTGGGAATCCCAGTTCTTCTGTGCCTGGCCCTTTCAGACGCTGGCCACTCAAAAGGAATCTCTTGTAATTTAAGGAAAGCAGCGCTCAAGAGAAAGATGCTATGAGACAAGGTTCAAGCAGAGGGTTTTATTTTTATTTTTTAATTAGAGAAAGGGGTCATAAAAAGGGGAGAAAGTGGAGGGGGAGAGCTGTCTCCAGAAACAGGATCAGCAAGAGAGAGGAGAGAGGAAAGAGGGGAGACATGGTAAAGAGAGGGGGAGACAAAGGAAAGCTGGAGAGAGGGAGAGCGGGAGAGAGGGAGAGAGGAGAGAGAGGAGAGAGAGAAGAGAGAGGGAGGACAGAGAGGGAGGAGAGAGAGGGAGGACAGAGAGGGAGGACAGAGAGGGGGAGAGGGAGAGAGAGGAAGAGGGAGAGAAATGGGAGGCAGGCATGACCCTTTTATAGGGGAACATAGTGAATGTGCACAGGTGCTGCTCTTAGTGGCTGCAGCTGATGGTGTATCCCTATTTGTTACAACTGAGCTCTAAGCAGTAGGGAAAACGGCTCCCCCATTGCCTGAGCCCTAGGGCTAGCCTACACCAGTACTTAGTGTCTGCCCCCACTGTCACCTCCCCTGTTCTGAACTGGTCTGGGAATAATTAAAATGGGCCCAACTTCTAGTCCAAGAAAGAATATAACTAAGGATAAAGAACTTTCAGGGAGACTGTTGAGATCCCATCCTTCCCCCCAACACAGGGTGTCCTTTGTGTACTCCTGGCATTCCTGGAACTCACTTTGTAGACCAGGCTGGCCTCAAACTCAGAGATCTCCCGGTCTCTGCCTCCCCAGTGCTGGGGATAAAGGCATGCACCCCCACTGCCTTCCTTGAACTCCCCCATTCTTACAACTCATAAAAGACAAAGACTATATTTAGACTGTGACATGATCTTAGGGACATAAACACGACTATGACAACAGTGTGGACTCTCCAGCCAGGGCCCTCTGCTCCTACTGTAATTCCTCATGGACATTACATCATTTTATCAGAGTCGAAAGACTAATTTGTCTCTCTTCCTTTACATCCTGATAAGAACCATTTTTTATGCTGTTTTCCTGACCCAAACACCATACAAAACAACATACCTTTAAGCCTAATACTGCTGGAGGCAGAGGCAGGTGGATCTCTGAGTTCCAGGCAGCCAGGTCTACATAGTTACTTCCATTCCATGATGTGCTACATAGTTAGGCCCTGCCTCAAAAATTAATTTGTTTTCAACAAGGAGCTGTACATTTTATACTGTCCACACCTTAGGGTCTTTATGTTGTCACTGTGTGTGTGTGTGTGTGTGTGTGTAAGGACATTCTTCTCATACTTAGTCTATGAACACATTTTATCACAAAGTGTTTTCTTTTTAAGTTTACGTTTTTCAACAAATTTTTATTTATTTGACTATTTCACATCAATGCCCCCAATCCTTCTCATTTCTCAGTTAATCCATATCTGCCTCTCACCCCTGTCCCACAATGTAAATTTGAAAAAAATCAAAAATATTAATAAAATGTAAACAAACAAATGCAGAAACAAAGCAGAAAACCCACTTGCTCCCTGTCTTTCCTGTCTCTCCACCATCTCTTCATCTGTCTACTTGGAGTAAACTCTATGTCTGAACCCCTTTATTTGCGACTCTTCATTATATAGTAAGCTGTTGGTCAGGTTTAAGGGCCCCTGGCTTCTTGTACACCATCAATACTGGACCCTCACTGAAACTCCTCTCTGATGTCCTGCTGTTCCCCCGAGACATGGAGATCCTATGACTATGGTCCATCAGGACCAGTCCCTTCATGCACTCTGGCAGGTCATGGATGGGGTAGATGCTGGGGTGGGCCAACACAAAGTCCTGATGTGTGCCTGAATTGGTCTGTCTGGGTCACTGGTATCATCTCCCTCAGGCAAGTGGTGGAGTCAGCCCTTTCATGCCCCTGGTGAGGGATGGGGGCCAGCTTTCCCAACAGCAGGGGCCCCCTTTCCTATGAGGGGCAGAGCAGTTCTCCAGTGTCTGGTCACTGGGACTAGCTCTCTCAGGACGATTAAGGGGCAGCGCAACTCTCCCATGGGAGTCAGGACCAGCTTTGTCTCAAAGCCAGTGAGGGGCAGGGACAGCTCAGCATGGCCCTCAGACTTCAACATTCATGGTTTGCATGGGCTCCTGTGTTAACCTGGCAAATGGACATGAAGAGAGACCTCAGGTGCAGCAGGACCATGAAGTCATAATGTGGTGCCCAGCAGGTGCTCGGGTCTGGATATCATCCTGGCTCCAAGAAGCAGTGCAGGTCACTCAGATCTTTATGGGCTCAGACACAGAGTGGGTCCCAGACTTCACCATGACCCCAGCCCCAGGGGATGTCCAGACTCCATACATCCACATGGATTTGATGGTGACAGGAGACACAGACATTAGCACCGACTCTTGCTGCAGTAGGGCAAGGGATCCATACATGGCCCTTGGCTGCAGCTGCTTAGATAGGGATGCCAACATGGCCTTGTATGGCAGCACAGGCCACTGAGATCTGTATGGCACTGGAGACAACATGACCCTCAGTCCCCAACATGGCCGTAGGTAGTGGCCCAGACCTAGACATCAGCACAGCCTTTGGTGGTAATAGATTCACGAACATCCACAGAGACCCCACCAAAGCAGGGTCACTGACCCAACATGGTCCTGGCTGTCCCCTGTGACTGGATGTCCCCATGCCCCCAGGTGACAAGCAGGCCAGCTACAGCAGTCAATTCATTACCACTTTTGCCTCTTCAGCTCTGAGTCTTTCCATACTACACGAACCATTCTGCCTCTCTCTCTCTATATATATATATTCGCTCACCATTATGGCGCATGATCACCTAAAGTCCAATGATGCCAGATGGTCCCGTGGTTGTCTTCTACCCACCCAGGCCAAGCAGCGTCTGTTAGGCCTTTGAGTGTCCTCCACAGGCCTTGGCCTGGTGGTACCCGGCAGGCCCTTGGTTGTCTTCTACAAATCCAGGTCAAGCAGTCATGAATTGAGTTTTGACACCTGATGTGTAAGGGTGTTTTGTCTGCATGTATGTATGTGTGCTGCATGTACATGCTAGTTGTTCATGGAAATCAAAAGTGCTGTCAGAACCCCTGAAATTGGAGTCACAGATGATTGTGGACACCATGTGGGTGTTGTCTTTGAACATTAGTACTCTGGATGTGTGACCAGTGCCCTTCATCACTGATATACCTCTGCAGTCTACCCATCATTTGTTTATTGTTTACAACACACATCTCAATGTATCATGATAACTTAGGTCATCAGGAAAATCTAACCTGGGTCAGCTCACAGCACTTTTTGTTTACAAACTCTAGCAGGACCAAAGAGATGAGTGCACAGCCTTTGATATCCATTTGTCCTTTGGATTTAACAATGAAGTCCTTGCTGATTTGACAATTACATCACGGTAGCTGTCCACATGCCTGGGAGGTTTGACTCAGTACATGCAGTTGAGACATGTTTAAAACACATTTTCTGAGCATGAGGAAAGAGCATGTCACAGCTAATTCTTCCAGAGGGGGTGCTGCTCCATCAGGACTGGGCCACCTGTGTGCCTGTCTTCTCCCCCTCCTCTGTCTCTCTATCTCTGTCTCTGTCTCTGTCTCTGTCTCTGTCTCTGTCTCTCTCCCTCTCCCCCTCTCTCTCTCTCTATATATATATACCCGTGATAAGACAGACAGACAGACAAACAGTACACTGAAACTGAAGAAATCACATCACCTTTCCTCTTTTGAGTCATTAAATGAAAACCTGTCAATCATTGGATGTCATCTGTTTCCCTTCCACTATCTGTCATTTGCAAACTTTCAGAACATGTCATGTTTCTGTGAGTTGTGCTGTCTAGCAATGCTCCCTGTGTGACGAGGTGAAATGTTGGAAGGGAACAGGCCTCGTTCTCTCCGGAATCCGCACATCTCCATCCACACCCTTCAGTCATGGCTCATGCTCCCAGAACTGAGCTCTTAGTATCTGCATGGGGATCACTACTGCATCTGTCCACCCCTGGGGAATTCTGCATGCATGTCTTTGATATATGTGCACAAGGGTGTTTTTCATGTTCACCTTCAGCTGAGTCAAATAATATTTACAGTTGCTTCTCTATCAGAAATTTCTGTTTAGTGGGGTGAAAAAGTGATGTTTCAATTATTACCTATACTATAATACTCCTCCATATCTCAAGTCACTTAAATGATATATGTTAGAGTTGTAATATAATAATTATTAATATATAATTATATTGTATATTAATACATTGTCATGTTATATAGTAATACATAATTATATTAAGTGATATATTACAGTTGCTTCTCTATCAGAAATTTTATTTTCTTGAGTTGAGAAAAGGATTTTCCCATCTTTCCCTACAGCATAGTGTTCACACATCTGCAGAGTCTCTCAGTGTCAGACCATTTAGTTTCAAACATATTTGTGTCTGGGATGCTGTCTCTATGT